ACTTAGTGAAAGCATTCCCAGGAGAGAGAAGGAGAGAGAGAGAAATCACTGGGAACAACCCAGGGAACACCACACCCAACTTGCATGTGCCACACACACACACACACACACACACACACACACACACACACACACACACACACACACACACACACACACACACACACACACACACACACACACACACACACACACACACACACACACACACACACACATCCATCTGCATTTCCTGGAGACTTATCCTAACCTTAACCATAACCAACACATGCCTAACCCTAACCCTTACCCTTACCCTAACCCTAATCCTAAACCTAACCAAGTCTTCACCCTAAAATTAATGATTCCCCTCATGGGGACCTCCAATTTGTCCCCATAAGGGAGGCGAGTCCCCACACGTGACTGATTTAGGTCCCCACAAGTATAGTAATGCTAGGCCACACACACACACACACACACACACACACACACACACACACACACACACACACACACACACACACACACACACACACACACACACACAGACACAGACACACGTTCTCACTCCCAACCCGTCACATGTTGACGGTCGGTCAGGGCCCCTCCCCGTCACTTTATTACGCAGGGTACCCCTTGAGAGTCAGTTTTCAACAGGCAGGGCATCCCATTGATTTGCATAGAGCTCCCTGAACGTTGGTAATAGACGAGTTGGCATCGTGGCGAAATGCTCTCCGCAGATCCATTCTCACAGCGTTTATCAACCTTTTTCTTACTCAATATCAAGCCACACTTATTGTTTTTACTTCTTTAGGGTTAGGGTTAGTTGCCGTCAGTTATGGGGAGAGTAGGGGCTCAGAATACTGAAATCTGTATTCTTTGATCGTTTTTTCCTTCTAATTTTGTATTCTTTTCTAAACCACACACTGTTATTTACTCAACAATAACACATAATTATCCCTGTGTTTATTTATTTGTTTGATTAATAAACACAAGTTGGAGTCAGGACCGAGGGTCGGAGCAGCTCATAGTAGTTGCTTTAGAGAATTTTACACCCAGAAGTAAGTATTCTCTCGGCTTCGCTTGACAAACCCCGTGATAGTCCTCAAGCTCTGTGATTGGATGTTTGAGTGTGCTCCGAGGGTTACGCCGAGTGTCGAACAGCACTTTGAAATGGGATGGAACCACGGCAGACAGTCCAAAACTGGATTTGAACGGGTCCACCCCGTCCCCCCCTCCCCCACCTCATCCCAAGAACTACACATGCTGGCTATTGTGTGTTTCGCAACATGTTCTATGGCACGTCTCTGCTGGGAATTGTAGTTTTAAAAGACGTTTTCGTATTTCCCATGATAAGAAGTTGCCAGTATTAAACTATGCACATCCCTGGAGCTTTAGGGGATAGGAAACACTCAAATTTAAAACATATAATTAATAAATGGGTGAAAATTGCTTGTGCCCATAATGGGCAGCATTACCCACATGCCAGCTAAGGTCAGAAGAGCTTTATTTAACAGCTGGTCTTATGTCTGTGACCCCTCCTGTTGTTCATTGATAAGCCTGAAACATTCACTTGTCAAGGTTCAGAGGCACATTTTGCAAATATGGCGGTAGCCATCGATCATCTTAAAATAAGATATACTTTATTGATCCCAAGTTGGAAACATTTGCGTTACATCAGCATGTGTAACAGTTGTAAATATGCAGTGGTGTTTATTTGTAAATCATTTAGTATAATCACACAAATTCTGTGTTTTATATTGAATAATTCTATGTTCTTTATTTATTGATTGTTCAATACCTGACAAGGTCGGAGATAAAAAACTTGGGTCGCAGGTTCCTCAACAGTGCATTACAAGACATCTATCAATATGTGTGTATACCTCCACCATTAAACTGTCGTATTCTGCACATTTCTTATACAATCTACATACATCTTATAAGAGTATAATACATATGTATAATATCAGTTAAAATAAGGAAAAGCAATATATTAGTACTTTGTCAGGCTTAATATTTATACCCCCAAAGCTTTTTTCTTATTCAAAATAAGACCTTAACCTAAAGTATTCTTTAATGTTTAAATAAAGCCTTATTAGTTTGTCTGTCTGTGTCTCCTATTAATATCTAATAATAAAAATAATACATTTCAATAACGTGCTTTAACCACCAGGTGTCCCTTTATATCAGCTGTGCACCGTTATGGTGTAAATATACCAATATACCGATTGGATCAAATATATAAGTCAGCCGAATTAGTATTGATACTGCAAGGAGACTTATATTGTGAAGAGAAATTGAAGATGTTGTTTAATTGCTGATATATTTATGATCCACGTCACATATTCATTTTCGGCGGCAGTTCTTCCTGTTTGTCTAGAAGTCTTCTCATCAGGGCTCTATAAATAGAGAACTACGACAGATATGTAATATTTAATGCAGCCGAACCGTGTATTACAATGCCGTTATGTGATGATCTCCAAAGAAAAAAGCAAGCAAACTCGGAATAAAGTATTATTTTATTTTAAAAATATGTTTTCGGATTTCACATCAACAGGAAGTCCGGTTAACTAAAATGTCCGTGCGGAACAATACCCCAACCCTTAGATCCGTGGGTGAACAATGTCAATCACCACATTACACAAATCCCTTCACATTTACATTTTAATTTACATTAAAGTATTTCGTGAGGCCTTTTAAAATGTTTTAAAATATAATTAGGGTTGTAGTTGAAGAGTTCGTAAACTTGCCTGGCAACGCAATCGCACAACAGCACGTCCATTAATTCCACAACCACACACATGGATTAACATTGATTTAATACATTAATGTAGCCTTTGTTTCTGCTAAAAGAGGTGTCAACCAGCTGGGGCAACAAGAAAATCGGCAAAATCGAGTGTGACTATTAAAAAATAGATTATTATTATATTAATATTGACCAGTGGCGAGCCGTCAGGGCCCTCTAGGCCCTCTATGAGGGCCTAAGATATTCTACAAAATAATATTTAAAAACATTAAATAAAATAATATTTTTTAATATATTTTTTTAGTTATATTTTTCATTAGTTTTATCAAAATAACTTGATTTAATTGTATTTTAAATAACATTTCCAAAGAAATAAATCCTTCGAATCTGCCTATTCAGTTTCTGTTGGAATGTGAAGGGTTAAATGAAAGAAGCTCGTCTCTGCGTGTTACGGCCTGTCTACACAGGCGTCAAAAAATGCTTTCAACGCTTCGCCCATTCATTTGAATGGGGTGACGTAGGATATTTTCAAACTTCGCCGAACTGCATTGTGGGTAGCATGGCAAGGCATTGCAAGCATCGCGAGCGTCTATCGGTGTCAAAAGTTGAACAATGTTCAACTTTTGAGGCTCGATGCTTGCTCGAAGCTGGCGTCAGCCAATCAAATCCCGTTTTTGCAATTCCCGCCAGTACAAGCGCTAGCCAATCAAACCGCGTGCAAGCTGGGAGAGCCAGACCGCAGTTCATTTCCTCATATTCCAAACGAGAAATTACGGTAGCAAATCACCCGGTTCTTTCCGACCAGAACTATTTACCGGGATACAAACCGGAGGAACCAGGCATGGAGGGAGGTGGTAGAGACAGTGGGTGAAACTGGTAGGTTTTCGCCTGTTTGGGGATTTTATATCCAGTTTACTTCGTTTTAACATTGCTATTGCTTTGTATGTCGGGGGCGGGAGATTCATGTGATTGGTTGTTGGTCGCGTTGCTCGCAAAAAATTGCCACGCTTCAGACACGCCCAGCTTCAAGATTTTTTGATGCCTGTAGTGTAGACGGGCCGTAACTGTGAAGAGAGGAGCTGTTGGACGTCCAGGCGGTCCAGCTATGAATTCACAGAGGGCCCCGCTATAGTAACTGAACGAGAGAGTAATGTCAAATGACAGTACAATTGACCAATCATATCTTCCCTCTAAATGGGTGGGTGTTATTATCGCGGACTTTATGTCAAGTTCCGCCCGCTGTGAAACTGTTCTTGTTTCCATAACAACAACAACTTCCTGTCAATAGCGTTAACTCGCCTTCAAAATAAAAGCATGCCAAATTACACTTAAGACATACAACTGCAACGAAAGTAACAAACACAATGCAATATCCTTTGCAATTTCAAAAACCACAAATAGGGTTATTTACAGGTGTTGTTTTGTGTGGTAGAGGGTCGCTTTCATTGCTGCGTTTTGCACCCCGGGCCGTTGTTTTGATATTCCGCTGAAGTATACGCTGTGACGTAATAACTAGAGGGAAGGGGTGGGGGTCAGAGGGCCTAGGTATAAAATTCACGGCTCGCCACTGATATTGACAATAACAACCGACCGTCGAGGAGCGTTCTCATGGCGTCTATTATCAACGCTATGGGAGCTCTATGAAGGTCTATGGGACGCCCTGCCCGTTGAAAACTGACTCTCAAGGGGTACCCTGTCCGTAATAGAGTGACGGGGAGGGGCCCTGACCGACCGTCAACATGTGACGGGTTGGGAGTGAGAACGTGTTGCACACACACACGCACGCACAAACACATACACACAAACACCCTCGCACAACTACAAGGAGCCAGAGAATGCAAAGATAAAGATGGCTTCCATTATTAATACAGGATCATAAAAAGGAAAGCAATACAGCAATAAATGGATAGATAGATAGATATATGTGTATTTTGCTGCATTGACCTAGGTTGAAATAGAAGCATTATTCCCTTCATCCCTCCATTTCCTTTATTTGTATTCTAATGGTATTGTTTCGACTTCCTCCATTTCCATCTCTTCCTCCTCTGGGATCCATCTGTAGTCGTGCAGTTAGCTGCCTACCTCATATACCCTTCCCTCCATCCTTCATCCATCTCTCCTTCCCCTGTCCCTGGTATAACTGAGCATATCTAAGAGTATAAATCATATTTTGTATGTATTACTGTTGGTATGTATGCAAATGTATTTCTGCTCCCTCACTCAAATTGTGTGTGTGGTGAGTGGTTGGTGTTTATGGGTATGTGTGTGTTCTTACCTGAGGCCTGGAGGACGGGGGCTGTGTATGTGTGCGTCGTGGCCGTGGTCGGGAGGCTGTGTAGTGCCTCAGAGTCTGTCCCTGGGTGGGTAGAGGCTCCATTGGGGAAGCAGGGGGTCCAGAGCTGAGCAGGGAGCCTGGGCTGGGCTTGCAGCCGGGGAAGGGAGCCTGTCGTCTGGGTAAGCCTCCGCGGCCGGCAGCCTCCTCCTCTGCAGCGGAGATGGAGCGCAGGAGGGGGGGGCTGGTAGGAGGAATGAACGATGCTCCTCTCGCTGCTGCAGCATCCAACGCTGCTGCCGCCTCCCCCTCCCTCCGCCTCCTCCCCCTCATTCCCGGGGGGGACGGGGAGGGGCTTGGAGACCTGACTGACATGGGGGTTGCTGTCGACAACAGAGGGACACCGCACCATCCTCCTCCCCCTTCTTCTCTGGCACCTCCTCCTCTGATCTGCTGCTCCCAGTCTGCATCCAGGAGACCTGAGAGGGGAGGCACAAGGAGAGGTGATGGAGGGGAAGAGACTGGAGGGAAGGATGGGGAATCCAGCCCACAAAATGAACGTATAAATATCTAGGGCAAGATAGGGGAGAAAGGGGGAAATGTGGAAACAAGGGAAATGGGAAAAGGGAGGAGGGGGGTGTCAAGAGACTAATAGGGATAAAGGGGATGAGAGGATAGATAAGAGGGGGTTACAAAATGGGGCAGAGCAAAGAGAAGAGAGAGAAATAAGGAGCAAAGCTCAGCGATGCAGAGTATAGAGAGGAAGCAGAAATGAAGCAAATGGGAAACATTGATTAAGCAGAGAGAAAGCAGAGAGGAAGCAGAGAGGAAGCAGAGGGGAAACAGAGGGCAAACAGAGGGCAAATAAGATAGTAAGCAAAGAAGAAGAGAGGAAGCATAGAGGAAGCAGAGAGGAAACGGAGAGCAAGCAGAGAGGAAACAGAGAGGAAACAGAGAGGAAACAGAGAGGAAGCAGAGAGGAAACAGAGAGGAAACAGAGAGGAAACAGAGAGGAAACAGAGGAAACAGAGAGGAAACAGAGAGGACAAAGAGCAACAAATGGCTCTGCAGTCACTCTGTACGGCAGGGGTGTCAAACTCAATTTCATCGCGGGCCACATTAACATTATGGTTGCACTCAAAGGGCCGGTGGTAACTATATAAATATACATATATAAATATATCATATATAAAATAATGTATTATATGACATTATTGCCTCTGAATTGGATTATTATCGGATAGGATAATAACTTAGTAATTAACTACGTCTGAAAGCAGAAGTCCAGGGCAAATAATTGCAAGTTTCTTCATTGCGCAAGTCACAAAACAAGATGCATTGTGGGACATGTAGTTTATGGGCAACCTGCTTCTGTAAAGTGGCATGTAACCATATAATAAACATTATATTCTTGGCAAGCTCTTGCGGGGCCACATCAAATGAAGTTGCGGGCCGGATTCGGCCCCCGGGCCTTGAGTTTGACACCCCTGCTGTACAGGACCACATAGGACCAGGATAGGGTTAGACCTACGTGGTTATCATTCTCTTACAGGGTCTAAATGTTTAAGAGGCTTTTGAAATGCCCATTGATTACTACACTCAATATTCTCAGTAAAGATACTGTATATTGAGCTAATTCGTTTTTTATGATTCATTGTAAAGCTATCCTCCAATCAAACAATAGGAGTGGGGGGTGGGCGGTTGTGAAATCCCCCAAAGTTTTCTCTTCCTCCCCTCCTCCCCTCCTCCATATTCTCTCCATCTCATCTCTCCATGGTAAGAGTCACTGGTGTGACAGTAAACAGGCCATGCTCCAATTAGCCAAACAGAGCGGTGTGTCTGACAGAATGGCCCGCACACAGGAGCAGCACAAAGGAACAACAAGGAAACATGACAGGAGCTTAAGACCTGCGCTCAGACTGGACTGCTGTAGCTAAACAGATGGAAATATTGTTCACGATGTAATACCATCACAGTCATGATATAACACAACTATTGTAATCGTACACACGTTACATCCTTTAAAGCCTGATCATCATTAATCCAAAGTGTTAGGTGCTTTAATTGAAAAACTGATAGAAAATATTTTAAGTCCAAAGGTGCAATCTACAGTATGAAACCTCATGGTATAAAGTGGTTTTTAATTTAAGTGACTTTTGCCTCCCTGTGGACACCTTTAATATGTGTAGCCCCTCTACTCATAAAGTGAAATGAGATGTCGTTGTGTTGCACGTTACAACCAACGTTTTGCTTTGAAGGTGTCATGGGAAGAAGAAATGGTTCAAAAAGAGTGTCTGCTGTTAGGACTTCTTAGATTTAGTTCACAGGGCCCCTTTTTACCTAAGGGCCCGGTCAAGTTCATCTAAATGAGCAGGTTCAATTAAGATCTGTTGTTACATTGTAAGGAGATCAATGAATATACTAAAATCTGAATGTATTTATTAACATGGATTACATGACCATGTCTATGTAATGTCAAAGGTGTTGTTAGCTGCATTCATGCCAAATTAGGTGCTGAAAATATTAATTTGAAAGCAAGAATTAAGGAATCATGTCAGTACATTTATTTTAAATAATAAATATTTTTATTTTATTCCTCGGGATTGTGAGAAACAGCATTTCGATCTCCCTGTTTGTGTCACACAAACAGAAGATTGACAATAAAGTTGCATTTGACTTTTTTTATTATCTTGTGATTGTTATTATTGTTATCAAAAGAACAAAACAGAAATGACATAAGATAGGTGGGTAAGGGTTGATGCAGGTTAACAAAATATAGATTGAAATGGAAAGATAAGCTGTACATGGAGTGGAGAAGAAAACCTGTGGTGAGTAATCCATTTTGTTATTACAGTTTGCCATTTAATGTATTTTCAAGAAAAGCAATCACACACACACGCAAATGAGTTACACAGAATCAAATTCACAGACGTAAGGAGACATTAAAGGATCCTTCATCGTGTTGGTTGTATCTTACTCTTTATGGAAGCGGCAGGCCTCAGGCTCTTGGAGTGGAAACTGTCTCTCCAACACGCTGGACTGTACTGGGGATGGAGAGAGGTCAAAATGGAAAATCAGATATTTAAATGGATGACTGAATTAACGGATAGATGGATATTGTGTGTGTGTGTGTATGTGTGTGTGTGTGTGTGTGTGTGTGTGCGTGCGTGTGCGTGTGTGTGCGTGTGTGTGTGTGTGTGTGTGTGTGTGTGTGTGTGTGTGTGTGTGTGTGTGTGTGTGTGTGTGTGTGTGTGTGTGTGTCCTACATCATCAGTTGGGAAGTCGCTGTCAATCAGTCGAAGCTCTGGGATGTTCATTTTCAGAGAGGTGCACGGATTTTCTTTTAAAAGGATATTCTACACAGCAAACAACGAAAAACATCAAGACTGAGTGCAACTCATAATGACAAATCATAAGTTGAGCATGTCATCTTAAAATATGCTATATCAGATCAATAATAGAGTAAATATAATAATACCTATTTGTGTTTTTAATGGAGGTTACATAATTAAAGGAAACATTCATGTGTGGCATATTATACAGAGTGAAATTAAAAATAAGTGTTTTAATTATTGTTAACTTGCATTGTTGCACTTTTGATGGGGCTAGCAAAGCTAGGCTAACAAAACTTGGACACGGCAGTTATAGCTGCTGCTAATTCCCAATGCGCTGTCATATAATAACACAATATACAACAATACACAATATATGCATGTACAAAAAGTACAACTATGTGGTAAAACTCAAACATATATTTACCACTCTGTCCTGTGCCATTATGAGATCCTGTTGCACCTGTTCCATGATGCTTTCAGCCAGAGAGACACTCAACGTCTGTCTGAGGTCTCTGAATGGAGGACAAGAAAGGACACACACATTGCATTGCAGCAGAGTTAGCATTGTGTGCTATGACTTAGCTGAGTTTTGTCTTGTTGGTAAGTGAATATGTTATAATGTCATGTATAATGTTCAATATGTCAGAATTTCTACTACTAGTTCATGTTATTACCGCAGTCTGTTGCTGATGATCTGCCCTGTGTTCTCCACCAGAGTGCTTCTCAGGAAAGTGTGTGTCTGTCTGCTTCTTTTGGACACACACTCTGACAGACCCTCGCACACACTGGAGCGCTGCACCACCCAAGGACACGCCCCCTCCGCCCCCCTCATCAGGCCTTCAGCCAGACCCTGGAACACAGACAGGACTGATGACCCCAGCGTCTACTCTGTGTTCTGCATTTTACTATCCCATTGTCTCTGACCTTTCTTGCTTTTTTGCTTCACTATAAAACATTTTGCTTGGTAAACTTCATTTAGCAGTACCTAAGTGTCTGTAAAGTTTGTCTGAAAAGAGGCAGACTTGCTTGAGCAGATGTGGTGTGTACTTTTGTTTGATAAGTAAAACTTACATGTGTACACGCCAGATGTATCTTGAATGTAAATTAAGAATGTGTACTGTGTACTTCCATAAATAAAACCTTAAGTGAGCCTCATACACATGCTCAATTCATTTCTTTGCAATTTTAATTGACTAGGATGTTAGAGGAAATATCAATTACTATACTAAAATCTAATCTATTTAAAAAATGTTCAATGTTACTCAATAATTGTAATATCTGTCTGGTAAAATGGATGAAACAAAATGCAGTACTTAGCCAAATAAAAAACAAACCAGTTAAAAATGCCAATGTGAAAATAATGACAAAGATATAATAGTGAGTTATTGGTGATGTGATAAAGTTACTGTTTTGTTAACTTCCTGTCTGTCAGACAAATTACATTACATTGCATTTAGCTGATGCTTTTATCCAAAGCGACTTACAATAAGTGCGTTCGACCAGGAAGACACAAACTTGAAGAAAACAGAATCATATAAGTACATCAGGTTTCATAGAGCTAAAACATTTCAAGTGCTACTCAACTGGCTTTAGGTAAGCCAGTCCTTTATTAGTATAAAAGTGCTTTGTTAATAGTTATATCGCTCGAAGTGGAGTCGAAAGAGATGAGTTTTCAGTCTGCGCCGGAAGATGTGCAAGCTATCTGCTGTCCTGATGTCAATGGGGAGCTCATTCCACCATTTTGGAGCCAGGATAGCAAACCCACGTGTTTTTGCTGATGGGAACTTGGGTCCCCCTCGCAGCGAGGGCACAGCGAGTCGTTTGGCTGATGCAGAGCGGAGTGCACGTGCTGGGTTGTACGGTTTAACCATGTCCTGGATGTAGGAAGGGCCAGATCCATTCGCAGCATGGTACGCTAGTACCATTGTCTTGAAGTGGATTCTAGCAGTTACCGGAAGCCAGTGGAGGGAGCGGAGGAGCGGCGTGGTATGGGAGAATTTAGGAAGGTTGAAGACCAGACGAGCCGCTGCATTCTGGATGAGCTGCAGAGGTCGGATGGCACATGCAGGTAGACCAGCCAGGAGGGAGTTGCAGTAGTCTAGGCGTGAGATGACGAGAGCCTGGACCAGAAGTGATGCAATGGCCCTAACCCTGATTTGAAGTCTAACTCACAGTATAGCTAGCCTTGATGAGGTGGAAACCTTGATAAATGAGCAGCCCTGATACAGTGTAGATGTGTTAATGTGTACCTGTATGCTTCTGTTGATCTCATCAGCCAGTGATGCAGCAGCGTCAGTGAGGATGCAGTTCACCAGTCCTCCATCAGGGGCAGCCTTCCTGCCTTCCTCATACAGAGTGGGAAGCAGCTGCCAACAAAACATCAAGCGTCATTTACACTCCCTGGACACTTTATTAGGTACACCTTTCTAATACAATCTAGTTCAACAGCTCTGCCATATTACAATTTATGTTCAAATGTAACGTTTTAATTAAACTTTATGTTTCTAACTGAGACGAAGGTATAAAGGTAACTTGGGTTTGAGAGCAGGGCCACGCCTCAATCACACCTCTAATCCCCTGCTGAGCAATTTATACCGATCAGCACATAGAGACCTAATTTGGCTCCAATTTCACAACCCACCCTCTCTTTTCCTGCCATTCATCCAATCCCCATCCCTTTATCTTCACTTCCATGGTTTCATCCCTTCATCCCTACATTCCTTTATTCCTCCCTCCCTTCTTACATCCCTTTATCCCTCCCTTCTTACATCCCTTCGGCCCTTATTCCTTTCCTTCCCACTTCCCTTCAACCATTTATCTGACCCTAGATGTCTTCATCTACTGATCCCTTTATTTCTTCATCCCTCCCTCCCTCCCTCAATCCCTTGTTTACTTTATATCTCCTTCTACAAACATCCCTCCATCCCTTCCTCCTTACATCCCTTTATTCCTCCCTTCTTACATCCCTCGACCCTCATCCCTTCCTCCCTACATCGCTCCCTTCCTTTAACCTCTGTTCCTGTCTCCCCTTGTCTCTTTCTATTTAATCTGGTGCATAGTTGTTGTTCTCATTCAAGGTACTGACCGTGTGGGGGCTTGTATTGAGACTGGACTCCCACACTGAGTCTCCCTCTGCCTGGACTCCAAACCAGCCTGACAGACGACATCACTCACTCTTCTTCACCCCTTACATTCAATATTTGCTGTTATTAAATCTTCAATGGACCTATTATGCTGCATGGTCCTTGCCAGTGAAATGGCAGTTAGTGGTTGAACAGGACTGCAGTATGTTGAGATGATTTTTCTCTCAGATGTGTGTAACAGATGTGTAATACAGTCCCAGCAGGATCTAGCAGAGCCCGCTGGTGACATCATTCCTATTTCTGTTTCTCTGCCTGTACCTTGAAGGACTCCCTGGCGTTGTGCAGAACCTCCTGTGCCGTCAGGACTTCAGCCTGGACCTCCTGAGGGTTGCCGGGGTTTAAACGCTGAAGGCTGTCCTCTAACTGCAGACACAGACCCTGGACCTGCTGGAAGAGAGGACAAACAGAAGAAGCAGGAACTGTGTTTGATCTAACCATTAGATGTGCTTCAGTCACAGAGCTCCATCTTTCGTATGATTTGATCCGTTTGATTGATCACTTATTGCGAAAAATATATATATTCTCTGCAGGGATGATCGCTATTTGATTCTTTTATTATACTAATAGTTGACTGTATGTGGTACTATAGTTGTTAACTGACTTCCAACTAAATATTATTTATTTTTTTATTTTACTCCTTACCATCTCAGATTGCTGGGCTTTAAACAGCTGGAGATCCACTCTGTCAGATTGTCTTTGGTTGTTTCTGTCTAAACACCTCTGAATCTGCACAAATAAAAACAGAACAGTACATTAATCATCTTTGTAAATACTTTTCAGATTAGATCATGACAAAGTGTTGTGAGATTACTTGTACTGGCATGTAGTTATATTGACACACACACACACACACTCTCTGACCTTGTGCAGGGCCTCTTCTGTTCTGTCGGGGTTGCCGCGGTAACTCTGTGTGATATCAGCCAGGCCAGACACCTGCTGCAGAGTGAAGTTCCTGTAACAACGAAGCATAACTTTAAAAGTCATAACTACTGTATCAAGATGGCGTTCATCCACCATGCTTTCTGTCCAAAACAGTACACTTCCCAATAGTCATGATAATGGCAAGGCACAATGGATGGCAACATCCTTTTTTTTACATGTAATGTACACACGTTCATGTCCCCCTCAGAATATAACTAGCGATCCCATGTCGCACCATGATCAGGTCAGTATTTAACCTTATGACCAAATACCTGCAGTACAAGCTCAACCAATATAGTAAATATTATACCTGTCAATCATTAGCTTATAAGCTTTGCCACAAAAGACAGTGTTGAAGGTGCAATCTTTTATTTTAAGAATTAATCAGCTTTCACTGTTGTGTGACGTCTCTTAAAACCTTGGCTAATTTATACTGTGTGTGTGTGTGTGTGTGTGTGTGTGTGTGTGTGTGTGTGTGTGTGTGTGTGTGTGTGTGTGTGTGTGTGTGTGTGTGTGTGTGTGTGTGTGTGTGTGTGTGTGTGTGTGTGTGTGTGTATGACCTCTCCAAGGCATCAGCAACATCCTGGAAACCTCTTGCAGTAACATTATTTCTGTCCCATGATAGAGTCCTTCAAAGAAGAGAACAAGAGAACAAGAGAACAAGAGAAAGAGAAAGAGGGAAAGGGAAGTAAATCACTCTTGGAGCAAATCAAGTGCTGCATGTTTCAAATAATGAAATGATGACATCTGGTGGCAAAAAGTAGATTCACAAAAGGAAAGGAAACATAAAGAGAAATATGTTCCAGAAACAGATGCAACCATGAAACTCCCTCTGTTTATTAAACCATGAGGCTATTATTAGTAATTCCCACATATTTCAATTAGATGAGATATTTGTGTCCGTTATAATTGTTGGCCAGTGTGTGTGAAGGTGTACCTGAGTGTGGTGTTTGTCAACAGGGCTTTGGCCAGCATTTTGGCTCCAGTGTCTCCAATGTTGTTTCCACTGATGTCCACCTCAGTCAGAGCAGCGTTCCCCCCCAGAGCGCTTAGCAGGATGTGCATCCCTGCCTTCAGCTTAGAGTCACTCACTGAGAGAGACTGCAGGGGCTAAACACACACATAACATAAGGAACTTTAAACTTACTTAAAGAATAACTGAAATCTGGCCTGTTTTGCTTTGTTTATGGGTGGCCGTGATGTTAATGACTGAGAGTGAATGAAATGAAAAGGGATGTGACTCACACACTCTTCATCCTGAATGAGTTGAGCTATACGATGAAGAACATCAGTGAGAGGTCTGGTAAAGAGAGGGTACATGGCATTGGTTCACAGGTGTCCCACAAGGCTCGATACTGGGATCATTGCTATTTTAATTGTATAGCAATGATTTACCATCTACAGTATATGTCCTGACACAAACATCTAAATGTATGTTGTTGACACTAAGCACATGGAGGAGGTAGTTTGACACAATTTGCTTATATACTTACAAACACCACGGTTCATGTAACAGCTTGCTTTGAAGCAATGCTGTTTCCAACTAAATGTTTCCAAAACAGTATGCATATTTTTCACTGAAATAATAGTTCTAGTGTTGAACCGGATGAAATTGATTCAGAAAAAAAGGCTAAAGGTTGTACCAGAATACAGGTACCATGGAGTTATACTTGCTTCGACCCTCATCTTTAAGGCTCAGGTGTTACTAGAGATTACATGTCAACAGAAGCTATTATGTACATGCACTCAATTGTCATTTCTCACTATCACTTACTGTTTAACAACGTGCTCACAGGCCAGTAACCCTACTTTTACACCACTATAGACCTTTAGTTAACGGGACTTCAACATTCTTGATAAGAAATCGATACATTCTTATCACTGTCCAATACCTACAAACTCTATGAGAAAATGTATGAGCTGGAATAACAGGAGGAAAAATAGCCCCTTTGCAAACGGTGGTGCTTTAGCAGCAACAGTAGAAATGTGCACTGTCCCAGTCGAATAAACGAATGAATAAAATAATGAAGTAATAACAGAAGCTGCTTATTGAATATACCCAGCTAATGTTACACATGGAGCTAGTTATTCTTTAGGTTTGAACTTTGACAAGTGTTTCTTTAGGCCACCCTAACTTCAGCAGGAATATATATTTCAATATTATGAGCAGATGTTATTATGTTCTTCTGACCTGGACTTCATGGCAAAGTTTCTTCCCAGTGTGAGATGCCGGAGAGAGGGACATCGACCCACAGACAGAACCAGAGTCACCATGTCACTCTCAAAACCTGTAAGCAAGGGGGGGACATTATCATGGAAGTGAGAGTCGGAGGTTATCTCCCACCTATACTGTATGTGTAGATTGCTAGTCCTGAGTAAAAACATGGACAGCAAACTACACCCATGTAACACAGTGTTGAAGGGTGTATGGTAGCAGGATCATGTCCTGAGTTAGTGAGTGTGTGCGTGGGGGGGTTTACAAACCATTGTCAGAGATATCCAGACTTGTGATAGCTGTAACTTCAGAGATATGCTCCTGTATCACTTGAGCACCTGCTGAACGAAGCTACACACACACAATTTGTTTACTGTAGCTTCTCCTCATTACAAATGACAAATGTGTTTTTTAGGTTTTGTGTGTTTGTGTGTACCTCACAGCTGCTGATGTCCAACCCTAAACCTAATAGAAGAATGTTGGTGGCCAGACCCTGTAGTAATAACCTAGTTACAAAACAAACATAATAAAGTATATAAGTGTTTGTAGACAGGTATATTTTAAGAATGAACGTTTTTAGGAAACTATAAGTATGAGAAATATGAAGAGGCTCATAAACCGCAGGACAGGGAGAAGGGAACAGTGCTGCAGTTATTACAAATAAACTATGTGCAACAATGGTGTCATGGAGGGGGATGGTAATACACAAATACATTATTATAATCTATGCAGAAGACTAGAGGTGCACACATTTCTGGAAGTTCAAGGTCAGCATATTTACAGCACATATACTGTGTGTCTTTATTTCCCTCAATTCCCTTTGGGGTAGGGAGCATGATGTAAATGATGAAGTGGTAGAAGCTATCTTAAAGGAAGTAGTGTTTCAGAAAGGGGGAAGGAGGGTCTTCAGAACGGCATCTTACAGTAAATACAAATCAGAGTAAATGTATGGAAAACTCAGAAAAGTTGTGTTCGATGGTCGAGAGAAGTGTGTAGTAAGACAGTAAAAGACAGAAAAATATTATTATGATGCTCTCGCTACAAGAGACAAAGGAGTTTGGAGAAGAATAGACATGCAAAGGGAGAACATTGGGGGAGTTGTTCTACTCAAATAGGGATAACATAACTCTTCCGATAGGAATAGTGTGGGGATGATTTGGAGGATGGGGGGGGGGAAACAGTAGGGAAAGATTAACACATTTTGAATCAGAAGAAGAACAGACAGGGATATATCTGAAATGGTGAAACAATTGTTCAGATGCATATATCAGGTCATTTGCAAAAGAGGAAATCGGTTTACAGTTAAGATCGCTGTCACGTTCCAATGACTCATACACGTCCCAGCATGTTAGTGCACTTCAAGTTAATATTATTATGTTGACAAATACAATTGATGGTATCAACTTCCATGTTAAATAAATTACATGTTATGATGTCATTGCATGAGCTGGGAGTCAACACACCTGAGAGCTTGTGGAGGTAGTTTGGTTGCAGACAGGCCGACATATTTTAACTCACAGCTCTGACTGAAGAACTGCCCAATGCTCCTGGTCACCTCCCGCACCTTCCTACACACACACACACACACACACACACACACACACACACACACACACACACACACACACACGCACACACGCACACACACACACACACACACACACACACACACTGTATAAATTAGCCAAGGTTTTAAGAGATGTCACACAACAGTGAAAGCTGATTAATTCTTAAAATAAAAGATTGCACCTTCAACACTGTCTTTTGTGGCAAAGCTTATAAGCTAATGATTGACAGGTATAATATTTACTATATTGGTTGAGCTTGTACTGCAGGTATTTGGTCATAAGGTTAAATACTGACCTGATCATGGTGCGACATGGGATCGCTAGTTATATTCTGAGGGGGACATGAACGTGTGTACATTCCATATAAAAAAAAGGATGTTGCCATCCATTGTGCCTTGCCATTATCATGACTATTGGGAACACACACACACACACACACACACACACGGTTATTTTTATGGGGTCCAGGCTTTTGGTCCCCTTTAAGATTTTGGACACTGCGCTGTGACTGTGCTAACATATGTTGAGCCCAACAATTTCATAAAGACAAACCCATACACACAACTACACACATAAAAGTTTTTAAAAAAACAAATCATCACATTTAGCTTTGGTGGATCATAGCAGCTGGCTCGTTTACATATCAGGTCAGTTGCTGTTCCAGGATAGTTGTTATGAGTCTTATCAGGGAAGTTGTGTTGACCTCTCTGTGTCTCAATAATGCAGAGAGGATACCACATTCAGGGCCTGATTCTAGAGGAGCTGACCTGTGGCTGAAAGGATTCCTGGCCAGGTTGAGGTGCATCAGTTTGAAACAGCATCCAGCAGACAGCGAAACAAATAACTGCAGGAGAAAGTTACAATGAGTGTTATGTACCTGACACACACAACAGATCAATGAATAACAACAGTTACATGAACAGTTAACAGCACAGACATCGGGGCCCTCAGAAATAGTCGCATGAAAGAAGCAGGTACAACACTGAGCATCTCTCGCTGACCGTGTCCAGAGGGCAGCTGGTATCACTGAGATCCAGATGAGACAGAGAGTTAGTACTGGACAGGAACTTGAAGAGAAACTGCAACACATAATGCAGATCTGTATTTGTTACGGATGTACCGGCACAGTTAACATGTTGCTGAAAGTAAAGTCGTTGTTAAAAGGGATATATAGAAGTTCCAGCCCTGCACATAAACCAACTTTCAGTCCATTTGAACATTCTACCTATCTTTTATTGTTTTTCTAATTAAAATGATATTATCTTTCAACTGTACACTTTACAGGTAGGTTGAGTTTGTAGCTTGTTTGTAAAAGTGAATAATAAATGCAGACCTCCCAAATCTTCTAGTGAGAGCTTCATGTCAGTATATGTAATTTATGTATATGACATTGGCTTGTTTGTATGTAAAAATAGCTGTCTTGAATCCACATTATTTGATATGAAACACACACACACACACACACACACACACACACACACACACACACACACACACACACACACACACACACACACACACACACACACACACACACACACACACACACAGTACCGTGGCCTCCTCGTTGCCCATGCTGCCGGGGTTAGCAGACAGGTCGAGGTGAGTCAGAGACGCTGAGAACAGCTGAGTGGAGGACAACACCTGACTCAGACATCCAGCACCTGGAGACAACAGTTAAATCCATTCAGGAGTGACTCAAGTGTGAAGTGTGTTTTAAAATGTATTGTGTGTGTGTGTGTGTGTGTGTGTGTGTGTGTGTGTGTGTGTGTGTGTGTGTGTGTGTGTGTGTGTGTGTGTATGTGTGTGTGTGTGTCTGTGTGTGTACCTCTAGCAGTCATTGATACCCGGGACAGAGAGAGGAGTCTGAGTCCTCCAGCTAGACTCCCCAGCTCCTGACTGAGAGCTATGACACCTGCAGTGGGAATGAATGTTGGACATACAAAGGTACCCAAAAAAAATAATTACATTGCTAAACTTCACATAAAAAGCATGACTGATAAGAATAAGTGTTTTGTATAACATGTGACTTTTCAAACCAGATACTTGTGTAAGCAGGAAATGCACAGGTGGAATTATTAACATATCTGTTTTAGGGCTCTGGCGGTGCTCACCCACTTACATGGATGGCATAAAGAGTTGGCATGGCGATTCCCGTGTTAAGCTTACAACATTGACAATTTCTGTTCTACGACATAAAATACTTCACTAAATACCCCACTGGTAATTGGCTTTTTCTTGAAGGAGCCATGGCGATGCTAACATCCAGGTTAGCCTACAAAAACATGTCATCACTGCCCCACCCTATTGGGACATTTCCTAAACTGGAGCCAGCATTACTGTTATTCTGCTTGTCCTTCTTCGACAAATCAATATAACTGCTGTTGTTCAAATAATACTGTGTGACTTTAATTATTAAAGGCGTAGTGGACTAGTACGTTGGTGTTCGGATCAGGGGAGCACAGGTTCAAACCCCACTGCAGTCAGCATGTCGTTGTGTCCCTGAGACACTTCACCCCAAATTGCTCCTGTGGGGATTGCCCACAGTATTGAGTATGGAAGTCGCTTTGGATAAAAGTGTCTAACAAGTAACATGTAATTTAACATGTAATTAGTTACAGTGTTTCCCTGATTGTAAACCTTTGGTATTATATCAGCTGTCCCCAACGCTATCTGGCAGCTTTTTCTCCAAAAAGGCCGACCCATCTGCCTTTTAACTGCCCTCTCTCTTAAAGGTCTCCTATTATACTATTTTCAGGCATATATTATAGGTCTCAGATGTATACAAATATATGTCTATGAAGTGTTTTGCTCTAAATACCAAACAGATCACCCATTCTAGCCATGCCTCGTCCCCCTCTATTTCACCCTGTTATAGAAATGCTGATTCTGGGTCTAAAGAAAAAAAACAATAATAAAAAGAAAAAGCTTATGCCCAGATACTCAGCTAAATGCTGCCGTGATTAAACGCCATATTATGTTCAAAACCACATCAAGGATTATTTCTGAAACAGTATGGAGCTCAAATGCTTTTTCTCTTGCTGGTATACCACAAGGTGAGTTCCTTTTTATTTCCTGCTTTTTTACACATACTCTCTCCAGTAGAGGTTAGCTCTGAGTGTTAGCGATGCTTGCTAATGTAAACAAAGACCAGGGCCCTTTCTCATTTCTCTAACTCCCCTCCTCGACTCCCCTCCTCGACTCCCCTCCTCGAGACTTAGTCCCGCGGCTCCCGCCCACAGGAGATGCGAACGGAGGAGTCGAGGAGGGGAACCGAGGAGAGAGGAGGGGAAGCAGCAGGCAGTTAGAGAAATGAGAACTCCTCTCCTCTGAGCGGTCATTTTAAAGAGACGTCCATCAATGATGACAGGAGGCACAGCAGCCCTCTGTCTGATGGACAGATGTGTTCATGATGACTTATATATTTACTTTTAATTCATTCACACTGCGGTATAATGAGACAATAACAGGCTACAGATGCGGACACACACACACACACACACATATATAAATATATACCATTTCAGAATCAAACAGAGCACTCTCATAATAACGTAACACTATCAGAGACTGGATATATCCCCCCCCCCCCCCCCCCCCCCCCCCCCCCTCTCTCTCTGGTCGCTACAATGAGGGAAATAAATTACGGGCCAAAAGTTTTATTTACAAGTATTAAAAGTAAGCAGAGGACACCAAACCAACTGAGACCTGTCTGTCCGCTGCACCTACACACTGTACCACACGCACCTACAGCTCCTAAAGCATATAATCAGGCTACAGCCGTTGTGTATTTTATTATGTGAAGCACTAAATGGTTTCAGAAAAATATCGACTCTTTGTTTGTAGATATCTACTAAACTACAGCATACAAATACAGAGAGTAATGTAGGCCTGTTATACTGAGTGATATATATTATACACACTGCTCTGCTTTCTGCACGGACCTCACAGTCACAGCTGTTCTCTCGGTAAACATCGCATTGCGATGAGAGCAGTTAATAAAATAATATCCAGGGATGCATGCAGAGCTGTCATTGGCTGAGATAAATCCGGCCGTGCGTCACGACTCTTTGAAACATCTCTGTTCCCGGAAATGCATCCACGAAGGAGCCGTGGAGGACCGTGGAGGACCCATCAGTGTCTCCTCGGTTAGAGCTCCTTCAGAGAGCCTCCTCGACGCTCGATCCTCGGTCCTCGAAGTGCATTTAGAGAAATTAGATGTCCTTCAACATGGCGCGCTAAAATTCATTTCCGGGTCACTACCGGAGGACCGAGGAGTCGAGGGTTATTTGCGGTCGGATAGTTTAAAAATCAACTCCTAAGTTCTAACCCTATCTCCTATTCCTTGACCTCTGAGTGAAACGTCACGGGTTAAGGGATAGTGGATAGGAGAATTCAAAAGGATTTAGGAGAAGAGACTGCGGTACTTTAAAGAATCCGAATGCACTTTCACTATCCGACGTGTTTATGATGCGCCAGCGAACGTCATGAATGTGCGTCTGCTGCTGTGGGGAAACTATGGAAACTACAGTTTTCTATACAGCGAACTACAACATGGATGTTTAATAAGAACGAGGGACTACTGTAAACTCATCTAGAGACTCTGCACCGTGCTCTGATGCTGTTGCTTTGCTTTATGAACGTGGACAACAGATAAACATATTCTTCAGGACCAAAGTTGGAATTGAAATAAAAAAGGAAAGTGAAACTTATGCTCGTCACCCTCTCCCTCCGGTCCACATTAATACAAATGATCCCAATACGTATGATTGTATGAAAATATCTTAAAATCAATACAAATGTATTTATTATAAACGTTAGTCCTTAACATCTATCACTGTGTATATCACCATTCAAACATCTTTTAAAAGTTGAACAAACCCCACACAGCTCAGTAAAGACTGTGAAATGTTGACTTTATTTGATCATTTCAGTAAAAACTAACGTTCATATTTCTCTTTTTGATTATAATACAGATGAACGTTCAAAACAAAGCACTTTGGCAAGTTACCACATACGTTTTAAAATGCTTAATAAGCACCGTAACTTTCATGATATAATTTCTCCGTCATAATCGATTGTTTCCGTGAACGGTCGACTGTTGAGTGACGGCAAATGCTGCGGCTGCAAGGCATTGTGGGACAGCATTTTCTCCTCTCCTTTCGGTAAGGGAGGTCCAGTGGTTCCTAAGCTAAAGGAGGTTATAAAGGAAGTTTGAAACCTCCTTTCCTATCATTCTAGAGAATTGGAACGGCACTTATCATGGCTGCCACTGAGGGACTTCCGGGTCATTTCACTCCGTTAGGAAGGTTCCTAAGCTAAATGGACTATTCGACATCAGCCGAGGAGTCGAGGAGGGGGATTTGATGAAATGAGAAAGGGCCCATATTACGTCCAAAACAGTCAGGCATTGTTTCTAATAGCAACGTTTCTGATAGGACCGTGGGTGTAAAGCCAGCCCACATTTCTGATATTAAGTCATATCGGACGCAAATCTGGATCAGCTCCGTTGTACCCCCGTTTTTAGAGATTTGGGTACGGATACTTTGTGAGTCTCCTTACACACCGGGGACACATCAAAATGTGCTTTTTGCATAATAGGAGACCTTTAAGCCCAGAGTAAAATGTCACCTGGCTGCAGATGGAACATGGTAAAGTGCCACTATTTTATTCTAACACTGTGCTTATACCACTCACTAGTGTTTACTTTAAAAAGCTCACCTTTGTCCTCCAGGGGGTTGCCTGAGAGGTTGATGGATTGCAGGGTGGAGGAGGGGTGCTCCCGCAGGGCAGTGGCCATCTTTAATGCAAAGTCCCTGCAGCACATTAACAAGTTACTTCTTAATGAATCCCTGTAGACGAGACTTTAGATATTGTGTTTGTAGTCATGCACAACAATAACTGTAACATGTTTAGATTTTGAGATTCAAATGACCACCCCCTCCTACTTATTAGCCTTCACCCAGCTCATTAGCAATGTACATGAACCAGAGTACCAGGTGGAGAGGCCCACAGTCACATCTTAAAAGGTACAGTCTAGTCCTGCACTGTGATACAACAAAACACACACACACACACACACACACACACACACACACACACACACACACACACACACACACACACACACACACACACACACACCCACATTTTGAGTCCGCTGGCCTCCAGTGAGAGCTCCTCCAGACTGGGGGATCTGGACAGCAGGAAGGTTAGCTGCTGCTGGATGTCCACTGACTGAAGGGACAGAGAGAGAGGCAGGCCAAAACTCTATAGTCTGGTATCAACACGTTTCAGCCATTGGAATTTGGAATATCGCAGAAAAGACTCTCTTGGGCAAACATGCATTTATGATTGTTACACATGTTGTTCACAGGACAATCTCCACACATCAACACTTTTATAATAGTTGATTGTCAATTGAAATTGCCAAAAGTAAATAGCTAACATTCCAGTGCTACCAACGAACTTCCTGTCAACACAGCTAAGCTAAAGGCGGCTAATGTTCGGTTTGATAATGTTTAGGCTTATTTTTCATGTCAAAGCATCAGACGTTCACCAGTGGGGTATTTACTGATGTATTTAGAGCAACCAAATGGATTTGATATAGTGTCATTTTGGCTTCAGCTTGACTTTAGAAGTATGTTTTCAAACAGGACAAGGACCTTGGTTTTGACCCCCGTCTCTTACAGTGTATCAGGTCTTGGAAAGTATTACTTAAAGGTCAGATCAGACAGCATCGAATTGCCTCGATTTAGCCCTTGAAAACGTTTGTAAGAAGGAGAGTCAGATTCTCTGAATGTTGCAAGCATTTTATCTATCTGAAATGGTATTGTGGAATTTGCAGACAAAAACATTAAGATAATTTACCAGTTTGAGCTCCTTGCTGTAGATCTTGGTAAACCACTGGTTGAAAGACAGAGCTGCTACTGCTAATGCCAAGTCTCTGAGGAGAGGAGAGGAGGGGAAAGTAGAAGAGAAGAGAGGAGAGGCGAGGAGAGGAGGAGACGAAAGATTCAAGATATTTATTGTCATACAGTATGCACAGTGGCGACTGGTCATTAGGGGCAGAAAGTATTAAAAATAATGATTACAAAAAAATGCAAAAAATAAATTAAAATATATATAAAATATATCTTAAGATCATGTTTAATCATCTGATTCGTCTGTACATTGCTGTTTTAGTCTGTGTTCTTCTAATTAGTGTCTACAGTGTGTGCCTATAGAGCTGTTTAGAGCCATGTGGGACAAAACCCGATCCTGCCCCTCCCTCTCTCTGTCTAAGTGAGCGGTGACTGTAAAAACTACACTGCGCATGCTCAGAATATGTTCCTATTTAATGTGTGTGGCAAAAAAATAATGACCATAGGGGCATACTGCTGCCATCCCCACCATACGTCATCTCACATAATTCAGAGCTGATTGGCTGTAAGTACGTGTGCCGCGAAAAGTGTGGTGTGTGAAGAGGAGACGAGAGAGCTGCAGTGACGCATCCTAAAACCCGGAAGTAAGCTGTGCATGGCTTCCCTCGACAAAAAAAGCAATGAGATTTCTCCATAGGATTTTAGAAAATAGCTCCAAATAAGGTCTGTGGGAAACGTAGCTGTTAGATAAATGCACGTTTTGTTCAGCCGGATAATATCCACATGTCTATCCTACTTTTATAATTTTCGAATCATAAATCTATTGATTAGATTAGATTTATGATAGACTTTTGAAACTACAAGAAGATAAGGAGGACTTTTACAAAAAAGTAATAGAGATTTTTGTCCAGAAGGATATGCAAATGGACTTAATCTTCATGTCAAGGTAAGACTGCAATTTTATTTAAAATGGGATCTTACTAAGAGAGAACAATTCAATATTTAAATGATAAAATTACATTTTTTGGGTATCCTTCTGTTGAACTGTCTGTTTAAAATTAATTGAAGCATCAGACAAAAAAAGCTTTTGAAAATAATATTATATTTTGATTTAGGTCAAAATATAATATTTGTAAAGAGTCAGTGCCAGTGCCTCACCAGCCATGAACCTCACTGCAGAAGCTTATATATAGACATCTAAGTTTTTTGTGCCCCACCACTTTTGTACATATAAAAACGCCACTGAGTATGCACAGTAAACAGACAGTTACACCGTACAATGAAAATCTTACTTTGCTAGTCCACCCTACGCAAGTAAAATACAGGAATATAAAAATAAATAAATACTTAGAAAAAACAAATAAGTTTAGCACAGGAGAGGAGTGTTAACACAGGTGAGTTCAGACAGTATGAAACACTCTGCTGTTTCTCACCTGCTGTCTAAGTGGCTGAAGTCCTGCAGGTTGAACTCTCTCCAGTTGTTCATGTAGTAGATGTTGTCAATATCCTGCCAAAACAGTTAGCCACACCAATGCTAACATTAGCTTATCGTCAATTGGCTAGTAGATTAGGACAACATATATCCTTAGAAAGAGTGGTCCGTGTCCTATCATGCTAAAGAACAGTTGTGACTCACCCACTGGATCTCCTCTCTGAACGGCATCTCGTTGAAGTCACACAGAGCAGCGTAGGTATCAGAGAATCCTCCTGAGGAACACAGACAACACTATCTATCTGCACACACAGGAGTTCCCTGTATCATATGATCATCATATGATTCCACCTTCGCCTGGCTGCTATCACACTACTTCATACATGTTGCACAAAATATTGTGACTGGTACTGGAAGTGTTTGTAAATTGTAATATGTGTCATTTTTTGTATTATTTTTAATATTTTATGCATGCCTCTAAATTAATATTAAGCTATTTTTAGCTCTTTACTTTTGCTGTAACAATGGAATTGTCTCCTTTGTGGGATGAAAGGTATTCTGATTCTGATTCTGGGTTTATATTAGCTGATAATTACAAGATAAATTCTACTAGATACATATGTAAACCTAAACTGCCCAGGTGATGGTAGCTGGTCGGACTCCAGTAGCTGGCCCTATCACCTCCAGCCTCTCACAGTGATGTACAGCAAGGGTGTCCAAACTACGGCCCAGGGGCCAAATGCGGCTCGCGGGCCTCAGCAAGTTCAAAGGGTATAATGAAGTATGGCCCACAAATGAAACTTGTGCTTGTCTTATATTGTGCTTCTCAAATATATATGCAAACATATTACACAGTAGTATTCATGAGTCAATAAGCTAAATGTTTAAAATACATTCAGTCAATTAAAGTTGAAAACTATTTCTAAAAAACCTAAGTTGCTGAAAAAAGCCCAATAACTTATTTACATAACAAGCTTGAAAGGAATTAGCTGCCAACAAAATACATAAAACCCTATGGAGAGCTGGGATGTAGGCTGTTTGTTTTCATAAAGCATATTCAAGTATCAAGCATAATTTACTTACATTTGGCAGCTTTTGCTGACTTATAACTTAACTTATTAGGCCCTGTACCTCTAGGGAGTGGCCCAGCCCTTCGTATATTTTTATGTATGTGGCCCTCGGTCAAAAAAGTTTGGACACCCCTGATATACAGTATAGTGTATTGTGGAGGGAACACACCACAGGAGCCCGGCCGGCTGCTCAGCTGCTCCTCGATCTCATCCGTCAGTGTGAGGATTCTCTGCAGCAGATCAGCAGGAACCGTCTTCAGCAGCTTTCTGAAGATCAGAGGACAAGAGATCACCTGTTAAATACTGACATCATCAAACAAGACAAAGAGTCTACAGCCATGCTAGCTGCTCTGTGAGGCGCTGTGCCACTCACTGGGGCTAAGAGCTAAATGCTAACATCAGCACGTTAACATGCGTGCAGTGACAATGCTAACATGTTTATGTTCAGCATATACAATGATTAAAATGTTCACTATTCTTAGCATATTAGTGTAGCATGTTAGCATTCTAACATTTGCTATTTAGCACTTATTACTTAAACATCATTAGTTATGCAGGTTTTTTGTCATAAAGAAGAAACATTGAGCTGGTGATTCCGCTCAATGAAAAATCAGCAAGACAAAGTAAATACAATGTATTCTGTGTGTAGAGATTCTTTGACATGGTAGTATTTTTCAGTATCTGCCTGGTCTGAAAAGAGAAGGTATGTGTGTGATGACTCAAATGTAAACAGTGTATGTAGAGTTTGAGCTAGTGTTGCTGTGTGTTCAGGCAGAGCATTGAGACATGAAGCAGGTGGAGCAGCCCACCCTGGAGAAGAGTCGGGGAAGATCCTCTTCAGAGAGGCAGTCATGTGACACACCATGGCCTCCAGATCCTCAACATGCAAAACACTGAAGGACAGAGTCTGCCGGTCTGTCTCCAACACAACCTGAAACACGTGCACATTGTCATATTGTATTATAGAAAGGAAATATAACATTTACATCATATTTTTTCACAATGACGACTGTAAACTGCTCTCATATTAACCTTTGCTGTTTAACATGGAATCTAGTGCTTCAGTGGATAAAACATAGATATACATATACACAAATGTTAAACAAGTATAGTTCAGATAGAAATAAATGACAGTACCTGAGTGAGACTGTGAATGTTGATGGAGCAAATCTCCAAGTAGCTGAAGGTGCTCTCCATCTGTACACATTCAAGCACGCACAGAAGTAAATGAGAAAAAAAATCATTCAACAGCAGTTTCTCTTTGAGACAGTGAGTACCAGGAACGAAAATCTATCCTCATCCATTAAATTGTGGTGGCAAAAAAGGAAATTAGATCAAATAAAAACCTGCTGCATTTTATATTACTTTTAAAATAACTCCCTGAATTTTAAAACGTCCGATATGTGTCATTTGAGTAACTGTTGGAGGCTTGAAGATAATAATAATAATGCATTTTATTTATATAGCGCTTTTCACAACTCAAAGACGCTTAAGATGTAAAAGTATTCCACGTAAAAGTCAACATAAGATAATAGTCCTTAAAAAAATTAACTCCTGCCACTAGAAAACTCACACTGTGGCCTGCAAGGGTTCAGAATGAGCAGTGCATGGTGAAAAGCAGTGAGAGATTATAAAATGTGCAATCGAGTGTAGCTGTGGTGTAAAATGGAACAGCTGTGATTTACCCTGACAGGTGGCTTGTTGTTAAACAGGTAACCTCTCCACAGACTCAGAACCTGATGAGAGAAACGACGTTAGAAATGGGACTGACAGAACCACAGCTCTGGAACTACAGAGGTTGTTGCATGTTGTGTTGGATGTGCTGTACCAGGGAAACTGGTACAGCAACTGCGATTTGTTGATTGTGCAGGTGTCAACATAACTCATTTAAGTTTGGTTCTTTATAGCTACATATTCCCAGATAAAAATGAACAAAATACCTCAAACTAAGTGACAGTGGCAGGATACACTTTGTATGCAACAAAATGATCTGAAACTCAAGGATATGCAACACTTCCTTTCTTCACATCATCGGATTCAGACAACTTTATTTTCCATGGGAAAAATAGAGCTTTGTAATTTTTTAATGAAAGTAAAAAGAAAATACAACATTTCTAAATATACATACATTTATAAGCACAATATACTTAATATTACATAGAACATCTTTAGTGTCCATCACTCACCACAAACCTGCTGGCCGACCTCCCACATGTCTGAGCGGGGGGGTGGAGGATGACAGGAGTCACGAGACACACTCTGTGAGGATTCAGCAGCTTAGAGATCTCATCTGCGCACACACACACACACACACACACACACATGTATACATCACTTCATCACTTTTAAATAAACAGGGCAAATTAAACACCTGTCCTATGGAATCTTTTAAACTTACCCGACCTTGATCTTAGTGGTTTTTATTTTCCAGTGACATCTAGTTCATTTTTATACGATTTGACTAACCCGGTGTGCCCCCCTTCCCTCTTTTACTTATTATCACTCTTATTATTATTATTAGTTTAATTATAACACTCCTTTTACATTTAAAATTATTAATAATGAAATAATTAATTTTAATTATTGGAGAGATTGTTTTAATTCTACTTATTTTATTATTGCACTTGTGTTTTAATACTTGCACTTTTAATCAACCATTTTAGATCCCCCTCTCATTTAAGGTCTTTTACTGATTCCATTGGGACGAGCTCCATACACCCACACACACACCTGCACACATCCACACACAAACACGCCCCCCTCCAGAGACCCTGGGTTGGGGAGATCTGCTTTTTAACATACTCTGCCGCCGTTCCGTGGTCCATCCCCGTCCTTCACTTTTTCACTCACAGAGTTTTTATGATGCTTTTTAAAAAGGGTTTTTATAAGGTCTTTGTAGGGCTATGTTTATGGAGTTTTTTAATGTTTTTTTAAACACACTCATTTACCGAGAGCCAGTGCACCCCGCAGGGCTCTTCACCCTAAAATGAATGACTCCCCTCATGGAGACCTCCCTTATGTCCCCATAAGGGAGGCGAGTCCCCACACGTGACTGTGTAAACAGATGTAGGTCCCCACAAGGATATTAATGCTAGGTCACACACACACACACACACACACACACAGCTGAAAACGTCACTTTCAGCTCTAGAAAAGATTCCCATAACCCCCTCTGTTTCAGCCCTGTTCCAAAAGTGCTGATTCTGTGTCTGTAGCTTTAAATGCTAATGAGCTGCTGCTGGCCACGCCCCTCTGAGAGATGATTGGTTTAAAAAAACACAATGGTGCTCTGGGAGGAGATTCAGGGGATAAGGTGGCCGGGGTTACCTTGGTTGCTGATTGGCTAATGGTTACACAAGCCAAAACATCGTTATGACATCATAAAGTGGCCAAAATCTGATCAGCTCATTTTCAGACAGGTTTTTATAGAAATGGATCAGGACAAAAAGAGAGAGAATCTTTGTTCCTGAAACTTTCAGAGTCTCTTTACACAGAGGGGACACATGTTGATGTAGAAGAGACAGGAAGAAGTGGATTTTGCATAATATGTCACCTTTAAATTATTAAAGTTCTACTGTTGTGGCTTTTATTATGAATTTTTCTGGATGTCTTGAAGAGATGTGTCCCTTGTGAAATCCATTTACACACTCTTAATCTTAGACATGGACTTGGGCTTGGCAGGGAAACTTGAGCAAATGAGCAAAATCCCAGAACATGTTCCGTTATAAAGACTTCGGAACATTTTAGCAATATATCAGTCATAATTAAAGCAATATTGTAAAAACAACAGACCCTGTGTTCTCGGTTCAAAGATGATTAACCAACCACAGACTGAGTCATGTTCTTCTCTTTGTCACTGACTGTTAAAATGGAAACAGCTGTGACCTTTAATGTTTGACCTTTATAACAAAAAAACAAAAGCTCTGAGGAGCAAATATATGCAAATATAACATTGCATGAATTATTGTCATGTTTATTCTACAACTGGTTATCCACTTATTTCAAATGTTTGATAGTTATATGAAAAGTCAAACGCTTCCATTTCTGGCATTAAATATGTCAATTGTATACATCACATATGAGCTTACATATCAGCCTTTCTGCATTTTTAGACTAACATATTAAGCACACCCCTATTGATGAAACAGACAATTCAACGACATGAAAAAGGACAGCTTCCAATATAAGAATGAAGTAAATCAACACCTCCCTAAAACAGTACGAATACACTGGGAAATACATTTGAAATGCAATGTACTCACATTGCATTTCACATTTTATTTTCATTTTAAAAACTGAAAATACTTCGCTCACTTTCTAAATGTATATTGAAATCAAAATATCTTATTCATCCCAGGGGAAAATTTGGTTTCGTACAGAGTTTATCGTTTCTTAATACATGTAGAGTATAATATGTTTATCAATTTTTGTTTTAGTAGTAGATGTTCTTTTTATTTTATAATGTGTATTCTTTGGATACTTTATAGATATATATATATTTTCTTTTAATTTGGATATGAATAAAATGACGTCATTGTTGGGGAAATATTTTCCTAGGCCCATAACTTTGACCCAGTTTATCAGTGTGTAATGCCCTCACTGAGCCCCTGAGCCTTGGCTGTGCTCTCAGTGTTTTGTCTCCCTGTTCCTGCCTGTTGTCGTCAGCTGATAGAGGTGTTATTGTGCTTTGCTTGTTTTATCTTGTTATGCAGCATGTTGATTATTCTCTCAGAACCAACTAAATACATGGGTCTGTATTGTATTTACAGATACAATACAATACAGTATTGTACAGTTGCAAGAAAAATTATGTGAACCCTTTGGATTCTCCACACATAGCATTGTGTGTTCCTTCCAAACAACTCAACGTTGGTTTCATCTGTCCACAGAACATGTTGCCAGTAGTGCTGTGGAACATCCAGGTGCTCTTTTGCAAACTTCAAACGTGCAGCAATGTTTTTTCTGGACAGCAGTGGCTTCCTCCGTGGTGTCCTCCGTGGTGTCCTCCCATGAACTCCATTCTTGTTCAGTGTTTTACGTATCGTAGATTCCTCAACAGAGATGTTAGCATGTGCCAGAGATTTCTTTAAGTCTCTAGCTGACACTCTAGGATTCTTCTTCACCTCATTGAGCATTCTGCGCTGTGCTCTTGCAGTCATCTTTACAGGACGGCCACTCCTAGGGAGAGTAGCAACAGTGCTGAACTTTCTCCATTTATAGACAACTTGTCTTGAACATCAAGGCTTTTAGAGATACTTTTGTAACCCTTTCCAGCTTTATGCAAGTCAACAATTCTTAGTCGTAGGTCTTCTGAGAGCTCTTTTGTGCGAGGCATGGTTCACATCTGGCAATGCTTCTTAAGAATAGCACATTCAAAACTGGTGTGTATTTTTTATAGGGCAGGGCAGCTTTAACCAACACCTCCAATCTCGTCTCATTGATTGGACTCCAGGTTGGCTGACTCCTGACTCCAATTAGCTCCTGAAGAAGTCTTTAGCCTAGGGGTTCACATACTTTGTCCACCCTGCACTGTGAATGTTTACATGGTGTGTTCAATAAAAACATGAAAACATATAATTGTTTGTGTGGTATTAGTTTAAGCAGACTGTGTTTGTCTATTGTTGTGACTTAGATGAAGATCAGAACACATTTTATGACCCACTTATGCAGAAATCCAGGTCATTCCAAAGGGTTCACATACTTTTTCTTGCAACTGTATTATACTATACCCAAAGTGAGGCTGACTTTTCGTACAATGTCCCACTGTCTGGCTTCTTGCATAAAGTAAAGTGCTCGTCGCAGTTGTCGGCTAAATGTTTTCAGTTAAATAGCTTCTTATATCTGTTAGCGCAGCTAGCTAGCACCAGATGCTAACAACAACAATACACATAAGAGAGGCTTCTCAATACTCAAATTTCCCCTCCTCGACTCCTCGGTCCTCCGGTAGTGACCAGGGGCCTCATTTATAAAGCGATATACGCTCAAAAAATGGCGTACTCCAGTTTCTACGCAATGTTTGCGATTTATAAAATACTAACTTGACGGGAAAACGTGCGGTCCTCCACGCAAACTCTAACCCATGCGTACGCACTAAGCACACACACGGGAGAGACGAGAAACTGCGACACCGTTGGCAGAAGGAAGAATGGAGAGAAATATGTGGAAATAATACCATAAATAAAATGTTACCTCTCATTTATCATATGAAGAATTCATTTTCAAACATTGATTAAAGCCAATCTTAAAATGATTTAACAAACGCCTGTTTGAGACTCCTCAGTGCACACAAAAACATAACTTGGAGAAATAAATAAATACGGATATGTTATTAAAAACCACCTCGAATATGTTGTGTTAATGTTATGAAATGTTTTCTCATAAATGATGCGGTAAGCAGGAGGACAGAATTACGTCTAAACTGACGCCGTTTTGCATTTCTATAGGTTGTAGATACGAGCATGGTTTTATATACTATCACGTTTAATCGTGTTTTATGCCGTTTGCTAAGACTTGATAGGTCGCTCGTAAAACACAGGAGGTATGGAAGCTAAGAACACCATATGTGGTAAATTGTACAGCTGATATAACACAACACATTAGTTGTATTTCCTTTAACTGGTGGATATAGGGTTGCTGCGGGGTGGGGGTGGGGGGGGGGGGTTGAGACGCACAGGCTGCAGTGGAGAGGCTGCGCACAGCTGATCGACAGCTGGGACACAAACCACCAAATACAAACAAATAATTCAGATCCAGTCGTCATGACTCCACTCCGGAGGGATTCCCTGATCATTTCTTAGTTTCTCATCAAGGGGGGGTCTCCTGTCCCCGGTACAAACACACTGCCTGAGGAAGGCTATGTGTATTTATTTTGTCATTAACCTTTTTCGGGCCATTTATTTATTTATTTTGGTGACGATCCGACCTCCATGCTGCTACTCTGGTTCAAACTGCATCCACCAAACAATATGATTTATCTCCACCTCCCCAAAATAACCAAAATCTGACACGGTGTGAGATGTCACACATTTAGCTGTTCTGTCGTCATTTCCTGCGATCTTCTTCATAAAGTCAGTCAGAATGAATGAATGAATGAATGAATGGGCGTTTCTTTGACTATTTATAGGCAAATATGGGCGTTACGTGAAGCCCGCAAAAGCTGCACCGCATTTCGAGTCGGTTGTGATTTATAAAGGGAAACCGACGTAGGAAGTGCTGTACGCGCTTTCCTCGTCGGTGCGCAATGTTTGGTGAATCGGGAAGTGGCGGAAAATGTATGGACCTATTTTTCGG